CCCTGCTTTATAGTAGAACCTTGAAAAGTACTAGTATCCCACTAATGCATAGGTATTAAATATGTGTGGATTGTTTTATGTCTTTTTTACATCCTATTTATTAAGATGTGCAAATAACTGTGGCATCCACTGTTCATACTGTTCATTGGTGGTGGACTAATATTGGGTTTTCAAGAGCTGATTCAGATAGAAACCAGCACTGTCAAATAATAAAGACCAATATAATTCAAATTTTGGCTTCTTATCAGTTTACAGACCATTTTAGGAATTGAAAATAAAAGTACAGCAGTAGTTCTCATAGAGCAGTGGTTCTCAAAGTGGTCCTCAGCAAACTCAAGACCCCCCAGACAGTCCACATCTTACTGTGTTAGATTTTTAGACTTTATTGCGCTGGAAAGGTGAATTTCTTTGTTTTTGTAAAGGTTTTGCAATACAAAACATGTCAAAGCATGATTTGACAGATTACTTGCACATTCGTCTGATTAGTTTAGAGATGCTGTTGTGAAACCCCCGCTAGTAATCTTTGATCTTTAACTGTCTCAGGTCTGAGGACATTTTGTCATAGACTTTTGCATATCTCCTTAAATTCGCCTTTAAAAGGCACTTGTACACAACATGATACCCACATCTTTTATATTAAAATGTTCAAAACAATCTTTCTCTATGCCGAGGCCCTGTTTGACCTAGAGCACTGTGTGAAGAAATGATTTGCCCCTAAATCTGAAAAGTTGAAGTCCAATTTTAGAATTGCTTTATATCTCTTGTAAAAACATAACTTTACTCATGGGGACTTGGGTACGTTACCGCATAAAATGGGTTTACCAAAGTCTTAGATCCACAAAAGTAGTGGAATGTATGAATAAAATAGCAGATAAATGTGCAATAAATGTCTAAAATGAAATGCTGTAAAATCATTTATTGAGTAGACGTGTTGTCTGTCACTCGATACGGAAGTCAGGAACTTTGACAGTCAAAAATGACTGTTCAATAATAAATGTTTACTGTGTAAAAGTTTCCTGTCTGTTCATTAGTAAATGTTTACTTACTGTATAAAAGTTCTATCTTTACTGTGTAAAAGCTGTAACCAAAAACATACAGAATAGAAAACAACCTATTTACACTGTTTACTCTCTCACTTTGCTGTGCATGTTTTTAACTGTCATGCCATGCAGCAAAACAGTTTCTGTCCAGCTGCAGGTACAGGGCAACATCACCCTCCCTGCATTTCTGTGGTGTCCTTTGCAGGCCTTGGCTTTGGAAATGTTCACGCCTCCTGCGACCCATGGAGACCCTTCAGCTGGGGGCTGCAGCATGGACATCAGTGACAGGCACAGAAAGGAGCTCTGAGAAGAGACCTGCCACAGAGCTCAGAAGTCAGCTACTCTAAGAAAGCTCTGTGTGTCATGGGTTGTTTTTGTTGGGCCAGATGGAGTTCCTTGCTAAGAATGAAGCTTTTGGTCATGGCAATGTCCAGAAAATGATAAAACAGCTTTCTTGGTAGGGAAGTGCAAAATGCATTTTCCTAGTTTGACACTTTGAACTATTCGTAGTTCCAGCCTGAAGCCCAGCTGCTTGTGTGCTCTTACGACTCCATGACTGTAGTTCTTTTGTTCAAATACATCTTTTAAATGGCAAGATGTTCTATTGTTGACTCTCAAAGCTATTTCCAGCTACTCTAATGGAGAATATATTTATCACTGACGTACACCATATGATCAAAAGTATGTGGACAGCAGGCCATCACACCTATATAAGCTTGTGGGCATCCCATTCCACAGCCATGAGCATTAATGTGGAGTTTGTCCCCTCTTTGCAGCTATAACAGCCTCCACTCTTCTGGGAAGCTTTCCACAAGATTTGGAGTGTGTTTGTGGAAATTTGTGCCCTTTCAGTCAAAAGAGCATTTGAGAGGTCAGGCAGCGATGTTGGCCAGATAGGCCTGGCTTGTAATTGATGTTCCAGTTCAGATGTATATCTATCAGTGCCCACACACAGTGAGGAGGAAGCTAGAATACGGATATGTAGAGTGATAAAATATTGATTACTTAATCTTGCTTAAATATTATGTAATAAATACCCAAAGTATGTTAAATCATTCCCTGCTTTATAGTAAAACAGTAATGCATAGGTATTACATAGGTGTACAAATAATTGTGGCATCCATTGTCCATACTGTACATTGGTGGTCGAATAGTATTGGATCTCCAAGGGCAGATGCGATTAGAAACCAGCATGGCCATACATTAATGACCAGTATAAGTCCTATTTTGGTTTATTATGGGTTTACAGATGATTTTAGGAAATGAGAATACAACTATAGTCATAGTTCTCATAGTGCAGTGGCTCCCCAGTCTGGTCCCCAGTACCCCCAGACCTACAGACTGTCCACATCTTAAAGTGTCAGATCATAGAGCAACAGTACTAAAAAAAACAAATTGAATATGCTAGAAAGGTGTTTCTTTATCTTCTTAAAGTGTTTGCAATATGAAATATTATAATATATATATATATATATATATATATATATATATATATATATATATATATATATAATAAATTATAATATATTTAATGTGTTTGCAATTTTCTTTTTTTTTCAGAATTTTTTCTTAAAGTGTAACTTTAACACTGCACTACAGGAAAGTCCCTGTGTAAAAGATACACTTGTGTATTTACAATAAGGCAAAACTGAAGTCGATACACATGTTTAATTACATAGGCTGTATTTCTGTTATCTATCTGTAACATTGACTAAATCATCAGTAGTTACATTGTTGTTGCATATGTTATTCATGTGTAACTACACAGTTATTAGAGATAAAGTGGGACCACATTACCCCTCACTGGAACTAAGAGCCCTAAACCCCAATAAACAGCCCAATCCCTCCTCCCCCAAACTTTACTGTTGGCACTATGCATTCTAGTATGTAGTGTTCTCCTAGCATACAGCAAACCCAGATTTGATCAAGGCTAAAGTGTACTGTGGAATGCTTGATTTTATGCACTTGTTAGCAATGGGTGTGGTGGAAACACCTGAACTGAATAACTAGGAGGGCTGTCCACATACTTTTGGCCATATAGTGTACAATGAGTCTGAAGTGTAATTTACTAGAAAAATACAGCACTAATGCTGGTGATAGTAATATCAGTAACGTTAGCACTGCTCAAGGGAGAACTACGGATTAACAAACAACTGAAGAAGTGGAATCAAGGAGCGATATACAGGGCGGTCATGGGGGATCCAGGACCTCCTGAACATCTCAAAATCAAAATGCTGGGGGGTCCCTGAAGTTAAAAGCGTCCATTAGGGTAAATTAGGGAAAATTCAAGGAAAGCTCATTGTTTAGGTACTTCACCCAATCAGCGAGCTTCTTTCTGTATTCTTAACTAACTAGATCTGCAGCACTGGGCTGTCTCAGGGTGGCGCTGTAGCAAATTTGTTCACCTAGTTGTTCCTTAATAGCCTGGCAACCGTAATTACAACTGGGATACCTCTGAAAAACAGCATACTTGTAAATCTGAAGACTACCCAAAACTCTATTTCCCAAAAGTTTGGTGGAAAGAGTGTTACTTATTTCCCAAACTGAAAAGAAAAGAGATGTGCAATTAGAATTCAGAACCAATCGTGCTTCCACACAGAGGAATTTGACCTCCACATTTAACTCATCCGTGCAGTGAAATACCCACACACACGTTAGTGAACGCACACCACTAGGGGGCATTGAAGCCTGTGCTATAGCCTTCGCCCTCCTAGTGCTGGTGGTATCATGTGATTGGGGGAGTCCTAACAAGTGGGTGGAATAGGATACGACTAAATTGCGGGGCAACAAATTTGTAGAAGAAAAGGCTCCAGTTCACAGTGATGGTCAACTGGCACTGCTTTGCAGGCAGGTGTGGTTTCAGAGGTTTTTAGATGGAGGGTAATCAGGAGAAGGATGAGCAAAGGAGTGTGATTAGATGTAGCCATGGAAACCATTAATTACACAATCACAATAACTTAGTCATGGCCACAAATCTCTCACAGCTAAATTGTCCCATTCCCACAAGTTATGAAGTTGTGGCCACAACTTAACTATCATGATTTAATTATCTCATTCCCACACATCACAAAGTGGTGGCCACAATTTAACTGTCATGAATTATTTCAGTTTCACACCTTATGAAATAGTGCTCATAACTTAACCATCACAGATTATCACGTCTCACACCTAATGATGTGGCCACATCTACAAATATTACCTGTTGAACAATCTTCTATGTGTGCATCAAACTTTTTCAAAATGAGGTCATCACAGCCACAGTGATACTCGATGTCATATTCATTACCAAGGCTATTTTATGTTGCTTGATTTATAAAGATTAAAATCTTTATGTGCCATTTAATTAAAGTTAATTTTATTTAGATATTGCCACATTAATGCTTTGTTCCGCTTGTAAACGATATCTCAGATGCAATCTGCCTCAATGAAAGCAAAGAAAAAAACAATTTCTGGGCATTTTGATAGCTGGAAATAACTTTAGTTTCACCAAGAGTGTCATTAATTGAAGCTCTTATTTATAACTGCATTTGAATAAATGGGCTCTCAACAACATCATAGCAACAATATGTGAGGCAGATGAACTTCAAGCTGTAACTATGGAATGTTCAATGGTCAAATCAAGAAAATACATAAAAATAATGCTGTTGAATTATTCGTTATTAATGCATTAACGTTCACACCTTTTGTTTTTAGCCTAGAAATAAAAAAAAGTTCACAAAATGTACATGACAGAGGACTAATACAGTCCTAATACATTTTTTAGATGTATTTCTTAATGATTATTATTAGTGTTTGACTTATTTTGTCTCTGTTGATGGTTAATCTTTGAGTATAATATAAAGCTGGCAAACACCATATCTTTATGAAGTGAGTGAAAAGTTCTGGTGGGTTATCTTGTTCCACACGTTATGAACCTGGAAATTGCTCAATCCTAAGTGACTCTTCATTTTCTTCACAATATAAAAACACCCAGACCTCAAACTCCTCCAGCCAGTAACGGACACACAAGAGAAATTAACAAAGAAAAAACACAGCAGTTGCCAGGTACAGTCCAAAACAATTTTAGTTTAAAAATGATAAATTTTGTATTAATGTCTGCTAAAATGCAGAATGCTTTATCAGAAATGTAGGATGGAATGCAAATGATGCTGTTTCTGATTCTGATTCTGCTCTTTCTTGTTTTTCAGTGTTTTGTACTCTGCAATGGCGATGTGGACAGTTTCTTTGTTTCTTGGGTTTTTTCTTGCTATGGGTAAGAGAAATATACGCCTCTTTACACTGTTCTGTGTTTATACTGTAACAAATCAAAGGTCGATCAAATCGAAATGTTATGTCAACCCTTACCATATCTTTTTTCCTCAGTTAGCTTAGTTTAGTCGAAAGTTCTTCTAAATTTTATTTCATTACTGTATCTAAGCTACAGGTTACAGATTAAGTTGAACTTACTAAGAAAAAAATGAGTGAATGTGTTTTCCACAATATACTACTTCAAAAAATACATTTTTAAGGAGACTACACTAAATTGAATTAACGTTGTTAGTTTGACGTCTTGATGTTATATATATACATTTTAAAGTGTATAAGCCCAAATAGGATTAACCATAACAGCACTCAGAGTTAACAGAGTCCTAAGAAAAAGTCTGTCAGATTCATGATGTGTTCTTAAACCACAGGATTATTCGTACCTTTGTGCTCTTGAGTGTGTGTAGATTCTGTTCTTACCCAAGAACAAATCCCAAATAAAAAAATGTCAGAATCTTCATGAAAACTGCATGAGTTTTAAGAAGAAATTTCGGTAACACTTTCTATGAATGTCGCATTTGTAAGCATCTATAAACACATTTATAACATGTTATAAGGTATTCATAAGGCATTATAAACGTGGTTATAAATATTTATAAAAAAGAATTACACTGAATTACACGTTATAGCCATGTTTATTATACATTATGAATTGTTAATATAATGCATTATAAATAGTGTTAATAACGTTATAATGTCAGTGCAAAAGAAGTCAGTCCCAGCTTGGAGAGCATAAAGACAAATACCAAGCTAACGGTGGTGTACATTACCTTTCCCACAGTGGGTAAAACACTGATGGCAGCACTAGTTTAAACTCTGACATTTGAAGCCTCTAATGAGCTTTCTTGTGTATGTTTTAGTAAATCCTTCAGTAAATACTTCAACTTGAAGCCTCACTCTTAACACTGGAGGAGGCTTTAGTACAGTACGCTTCACTTTACTTAGAGCGGACAAATACGACTTATGAGCTCTTATAATTTGTTATGATCCATACTTATAATGTATTATGTTAACAATTCATAATGCATAATAAACATGGCGATAATGTATAATGCATTTTTATAAATATGTATAGCTATGTTTATAATGTCTTATGAATGCATTATAACATGTTATGAATGTGTTTATAGATGGTTACAAAGGTGACATTCATAGAAAGTGTAACTGAAATTTCTTCTTAAGAATGGTTGGTGAATTAGGCCCAATGTTATTAATAAACATTTTAAAGCAAATCAGCTAGTCAATATTCATACAGAGTCAACAATCAGTTCACAGATAACAATTTTCCTAACTCTGCATATCACAGAATTACACTACTGGAGGTGCGGATTAAGTTTAGTTCTACTTCAAAATAATTTTTCAGTGAACACTGCGATTATCACTGTAGCACAGTCAGAGATTAAACTGCTTCCTGCCCTGTGACCAAAAGAAAAGCTAACTGACGTAATGTTAATGCTGTTTTGTTTTAGAGAACCTGGTGCTTGGACAACAAGAACCATCCAGCTTTTGTAAGATTGTTCTTTTACTTTGTATTCTTAGAGTTGTTATTATTATTAGTATTACTAATATGTTATTATTATTATTATTATTATTATTATTATAGCAATATTGTAGGCTAATGACATTTTAGAAACACAGTCTCTCTGATTTACAGCACATAAGCTTTGTCCGTGTGAATGGTCAGCCCATGGATCTAGATATTTCAAGTACTTCAAATCACCACTCCCATGGATTGATGCAGAGGTAGACTGACATTGGATTCATGCTTGAACAGCTGATTGGTGCTCACTGCTTATTTTTAATTTTATTTTTTTTTTACACCCCCCCATTCTAGTTTGAATGTTTGAAGCATGGTGCAAATCTTGCATCAGTACACAACAACGAAGAAAACGTCTTTTTAAAGAATTTCATCAAAGAAGCCACTGGCTCTCTGACTAGAACCTGGCTAGGTGGCCATGATGCTGTTGCAGTAAGTGTGGCCTGAATCCTGTTGTTATTTGTTATCTATTTTATCTGCTATTTTCCAATTAAGTAAACGATCACAAGAGTCTATAAACTCTGACCCAGAGATCTGTTTCTCCGTACAGGAAGGAAAATGGCTCTGGAGCGATGGATCCAAAATGAGCTTCCAGGACTGGGACAAAGGTCAACCTGATAACTACAATAGTAAAGAACACTGTCTTGAGATAAACTATGGAGGTAGACATGTCTACATCACTACTGCTTGTGACACCAGCTTTCTTTTTCCACCAATAATTCCAGTTTCAGGTTTCACCAGTACTGTTGAAGCCTTAGAACTTCCAAGCGTTTTGGAGCTTTTGGTCCACATCGGAAGGGAAATGTATTTATTTTTTAATATTATGTTTGGAAATCAGTCAGCACACCGTCTAGAGAGAATATTCTTAAATATGGCAATTTATTTTAATAACGTTTCAGTGCACAATTCTTATTAATTGCTGAGTTTATCATGTTGGAGAAAAATAAGACATGAAATATAAATTGTGCCATTACTTTTGCACAGGCTACAATTCTGTTTCATTTCAGTAACTAAACAGTAACTGTACATTAAAATGTGGTTGTTTTCTTTAGAGGATGTTTTTTAATACTTGTTTTACTTAAAAATCAAAAAAATATGTACTTAACAGGGACAGTAGACTTATTATAAGACTATTTAACATATTAGTCAACATTTTATTCTTGTTTTAATTGATTTTAATAAGCCAAGTTATCTCAGTATATTGGCAGATGGTTTTGATTGCTGTAAGAAACATATTTGAAACAAGCAAAATAATCTGCCAGTATTTAGTGAGATACTTTGGCTTTAAAATCACTTAAAACAAGAACAAAATGTCTAGAAAGATGTTAAATATTCTCATAATAAAGTTACAACACTCTTAAAATGAGAAATATTAGATATATTGACTAGATTTAGGACAATTTAATTTGCCAAGACATATTTTTTCAGTATAATTTTACTGTAATGCATTATTTGTACCACATTACCCCAAAACTGTTAACAAAACTGTTTTCATTATTAGCATGAAAAGTTAACACAGTAACTGCTAAACAGAATTTGTGCCTATAAACCAGTATCATTCGCTTTTCTTATAGCTGAGTTCAGTTGAGTCCTGGTTGGACATGGCAGTGACAAATGGAGAAATAATAGCAATATTAGACAGTTTATTATTGAATCATAATAGTTTATTATAGATTAGAGAAAATTTAAACCTCAAGTTGGAGTTAAACACTGACGCATTATACATGAAGATGAAGATTCTAAATTGATGAGTCTAAATTATGTTTTTATTTTCTTACCACAGGGTTTCAGCAATGGAATGATCTACCATGCACTGACTCCATGCCATTTGTTTGTGCCTTGAAGTGAAGACTCGTATCCATCTGCGAGAATCTTCTATAAGAAGAACAAAATGTGAAAATGGAATTATAATCTGAATAATAAGAGTCAATAAAGCAAGTAAAGCAAATGTGTTGTCTTGTTATGGCAATGCGCAACTAAATTGTTATCCGATTTATGTTATTCTTTTTCTTTTTATTATTCTTATTTTTCTGCCGTTTCTTTGCCGTGTAACCCGTCCTGAAGTTTTGAGATATCAACTCCAGATTGACCAGTCTGATTGTGTGATGCGTGCTTGTATACAGCTTTTTGATCGGATGCACGGAGCATGTGTAGAATTTTTTCCCATAGGAATGAATGGGGTGAAAAATTGCATATCAATGCAACCCACACTCGTCTGTTTGTCGTTTTTTTCCATCCCTCGTTTCTCCCATACACTCCCATTAATTTTTGCCAACACACAAACTCTACTACTACTTTGACCGACAGCCACCAAGCTACATATTCTCACTCAGGGCAAATCATCGAGCTCGAATCCACAGCTTGCATGGTCTACTGCAGTGTTTCTCAACCCTGGTCCTGGAACATCACTGCCCTGCACATTTCAGTGCTTTTTCTGCTTTAACAAACCCTCTTCAACTCACAATAATGGGCTGTTAATGAGCTTATTAGTTAGCTCAGGTGTTTTGGGACCAGAGAAAACACTAAAATGTGCAGAGTAGTGGCCTCCAGGACCAGGGTTGGGAACCACTGGTCTACTGTGAGATGTCCAGTTTGCCAGCAGAGGGCACTGTTTTACAAGAACCCCCCTCACCTCTCTGACAAAGGGTTTACCTAGTGCTAGCACTGGCACGCCTTCTTAGTTCAACTCAAGGAACACTGCCTTGAGATGAACTATGGAGGTGTTCATTTTGTTTTTGTTATTGCTTGTGATAGCTTTTTGTTCCCTGCAGAACCATGTTTGAATAAAAGATATATGAGTATAAAGAACATTTTAAAGTTTTTTAAAGAACCTCCACATAATACAGAGTTTCTCTGCCATGTTCCTAGAACCTTTAGCATATGTGGATGTTCTTTACACATAGCTGCGCTTAAGCAGCCACACCAAACAGCCTCAGAGCTGTGATGTAGCATCGCTCAAGAACAGGCAGAGAGGTCAATATCCAAAAGTCAGTCAGAAAAACCCAAGCGAAGTACAGTTTCAAAACAAGCAAATGGTCAAAAACTCAGGCAAACACTGAAGAAGAAAAGGCAAAGACTTGCAGTGATGGTCAACTGGCAACGCTTTGCAGGAAAGTGTGGTTTCAGAGGTTTTTATATGGAAAGCAATCAGGAGAATGATGAACAGGTGTGTGTAATCAGGTGTAGCCATGGAAACAGATCACAGTTAGGAAGATGAAGACGTGTCCAGGTCCAGTGCTATCACTGACAATATCATAAAAAAAAAGAAATGTGGTCTATAATGCATTTTGGAATCAAACCCTTCATAGACTGTTTACAGTGTGTGTCGAGATGTTGTGAATATGAATAGCTGCGGTATTAAAACGTGATGCTGGAGGTGGACACTGCTGGTGGACCTCTGATGCATTATGCGTGAGGATGAAGATTCATCATCCCTGAATGGTGTTTTTTCCCTTTGTTACCAAAGATACTCATCAATAGAACGATGATGTGCGTGATGTTTGCAAGCCATTTGTTTGTGTCTTTAAGTGAATATTTGCTCTCTCAAATCTATCTGAGGAAAATATTTATAGAAGGAAAAGTGGAAAAATAAAATGATCAACTATGTTATGTTAAGATTCAATAAAGGTTAAGCAAGCTTTTGCTGACTTTGTTTTTTGTAAAGGGGAAAAGTTCTTTAATAAGCCTATACCACATGAGTCCACTGTATTTTTTATTTCAAAAATTCTTATTCATCTTTTCATATGAACACAGGTCTCCTATGTCTGTTGCCAAATTTTCTTTATCCTGAGATATTTGTGTGAGTGCAGAGCGATTGTCCTGATCTCATAGCAAAGCCACTACAAAAGTATGATATACCTCCTCCTTGATCTTAGTGCAGCATTTGACACGATAGACCACTCTATCTTACTAGATAGACTAGAAAACCTTGTAGGGGTAACAGGAATAGCTCTCTCCTGGTTCAGATCTTACCTGACTGATCTCTATCAGTTTGTAAATGTAAACAGTGAATCATCTGTTCTAGCATGAATAAAGTATGGTGTTCCACAAGGCTCTGTTTTGGGACCTATATTATTCACATTATATGTACTACCACTGGGTACCATTATCAGTAAACAGGGCATCAACTTCCACTGCTATGCCGATGAAACACAGTTATATATATCAAGTAAACCACTGTATAAAAGACATAAAAGACTGGATGTCGAGTAACTTTGTCCTACTTAACTCAGATAAAACAGAGGTTCTGCTTCTTAGTCCAAAAGCTGCAAGAAACAAACTGTCTAATTTAACACAGACTTAATAGATTCTCAGTTGCGTCAGGTTCATCTGTAAAAAATCTTGGTGTCACAGTAGATCCCAATCCGTCCTTTAACGCATATATAACGAATATTACTAGAATAGCCTTCCTGCATCTCCGCAATATTGCTAAACTGCAGAAAAGCTAGTTCATGCATTTCTTACCTCAAGACTGGATTACTAAGTAATGCTCTGCTGTGTGGATGTTCCAACAAAAGCCTTAACAAGCTTCAGTTAGTTCAGAACGATGCAGCTACTCACAAGAACCAGAAAGTTTGACCATATCAGCCCAGTTTTATCAAACACACACTGGTTGCCAGTTAAATTTCACATCGATTACAAAATTCTTTTACTGACATATAAAGCTGTAAACAGACTCACCCCTCAGTATCTGAGTGAACTTCTCTCTCACTATGAACAATCATGCCTACTTAGATCACAAGGTGCTGGCTTACTATTAGTACCTAGAATTAATAAAGTTACATCAGGGGGGACAGCCTTCTCATACAAAGCCCCCCAGCTTTGGAATAAACTTCCAATCAGTGTTTGGGACTCAGACACAGCCTCAGTCTTTAAGTCTAGGCTAAAAACTTATTTGTTTATTATGGTAAACTGGTAGTGTTGGTGCTGTAATATTTTATACTAACACTGTTTGCTATCTGGTGTGGACCAGAGAATGATGGGTTCTCATTTTGAGTCTTGGTTCCTCTCAAGGTTTGTTCCTCTTACTCTTAGGGAGTTTTTCCTTGCCACTGTCGTCATTGGCGACGCTCATGGGGCTTGGACCTGGATTTCTCTGTAAAGCTGCTTTGTGACAACACCTGTTGTAAAAAGCACTATATAAATAAACTTTGACTTGACTTGATACCTGAAATGACATGAACAAAAGTTACATGTATGGAAAATGATCAGAAAAATCTCTGCTGCTCCGTGTCTGTAAGTGTGTGACATACGTATAAGGAAAGAAGTTTGAGATGTGCCTGTTGCTGCTCACATATAAGGCGAGTATACCTTATATGTCAATTGGCTCAGAAAGTTCTAGCTGCTTGCCTTATTTTGAACTCACACATCCTTTATTCCGCCCTGAAGCTGACTTTCTACAACTTCTGCAATTTCCTTCTGCAATTTCTGTCTTAGAAATGTGTGTGCTTTTCCATTCTGCATGTTCAGCTAACCTGTTACATGCACCCCATTTCCAACTAAATCCTATAACTATGATACACAGCATTTTGGCATCCTGTTAATAACTCGCTCTGCTCTACACTCTCAGAAATAAAGGTATGGAACTGTCACTGGGGCAGTGCCCTTCTTGTCATTGACATGCACAGGGGGGCATGAGGGGACACTGCCCTCTTAGATGGAATATTGTGACCCCACGCTCTCATTCTGCAATTACCCTTTAAACCAGACTCTCATACCTTGTCCTAACAGCAAGCATTATAAACGAGTGATGACGAAACCAGCTCACTCCTGTTATTCTGCTTTATCTATGTTAACCACATTAGTTTGTGTAGTTATTTTTATTAGTCACATTTACCTTATTTGCTCAAACTTGATGTGACCCTAAATAAAAATGTTGCTGTTTCTTTTATTTTGCTGCTTTTTGATTTGTCCTGGTTCTAGGATGAGCAGTGTTCACCAACAAAGTGTTAAGCAGCTGGGCTTTAGATTGTAATTACAGGAGGTTCAAAGGTCAGACAAAGAAAACATTTAAAAAAAATATCTTGCTGATTTATTGTGCAACCACATTATTAACAGTGTCCATGATTTCCAAACAGAATTTCAAATGTTGATTCGTCAGACCACAGGACACTTCACCTCAGTCCATTTTTGATGAGCTCGGGCCCAGAGAAGGTGGCAGCATTTCTAGATCCTGTTTATATATGGTTTCTTCTTTGTGTTTTAGAGTTTTAACTTGCATTTGTGGATGCAGCGACGAACTTTTCACAGACGGTGGTTTTCAGAAGTGTTTGAGTCCATGTAGTGATTTCCACTACAGAATCATGTCTGTTTTTAAAGCAGTGCTGCCTGAGGGCCCAAAGATCATGGCCAGCAAATATTGCTTTTTGGCCTTGTCCCTTGCATACAGAGAGTTCTCCAGATTCTCTGAATCTTTTAATGATATTATGTATCGTAGATGATGAAAAGCAAAAGTTCTTTGCTATTTTAAGTTGAGAAACATTATTCTTGAATTGTTTTGCTCATGCAAATGCAGAGTGGTGAACCCCTCCCCATCTTTACTTCTAAAAGATTCAGCCTCTTTGGGATGCTCTTTTATACCCAATCATGTGACTGACCTGTTGCCAATTAACTACCAAGTGTTATTTTTAGCATTACACAATTTTACCAGACTCTTGTTGCCCCCATCCCAACTGTTTTGGAATGAGTTGTTTGGTCATCAAATTCAAAACGGGCATATATTTTTCAAAAAATAATACAATATCTCAGTTTCAACTTTTGAAATGTTGTCTTTGTACTATTTTCAATTAAATGTAGGGTTTAAATGATTTGCACATCCTTGCATTTTGTTTTTATTTACATTTTTCACAGCATCCCAACTATTTTGGAAAGGGGTTGTTTATCACCCATGTGAAAAAGTAATTGCCCCCTAAACCTAATACCTGGTTGTGCCACCCTTGGCAGTAACAACTGCAGTCAGACGTTTGTGATAACTTGCGATGAGTCTTTTACTTTGCTGTGAAGAAATTTTGGCGAATTTTAATTCAGCTACATTAGAGTGTTTTTGAGCATGAATTGTCCCTTTAAGGTCTTGCCACAGCATCTCAATTGGATTCAAGTCAGGACTTTGACTCGGCCACTCCAAAACCTTCATTTTGTTTCTTTTGAGTTGTTCAGAGGTGGACTGCATGTATCCTTTGGATCATTGTCCTGCTGCATAACCCAACTGCGCTTGAGCTTTACATCACAAACTGATAGGTGAACATTCTCATCCAGGCTTTTCTGATACACAGCAGAATTCATAGTTCCATCAATCATGACGTCATTGAGCGACAAGCACAGTCTTGTTTTGCAGAAATTGTTTTAATTTGGCTACGTTAAAAGTTTTTTTAGCATGGACTTTTCTTAGCATGGTCTTGCCACAACATCCCAGTGGTATTCAAGTCAGGTCTTGAGCCAAACCATAGTTTTGTTTCTTTTGAGCCATTAAAAGGTGGACCCGTTTGTGTGCTTCACAGCATTGTCTTGCTACAAAACCCAATTGCACTTGAGCTTTAGGTCACAAAATGATGGGAGGACACTCCCTTCAGGATTTTCTGATAGAGAGCAGAATTCATGGTTCCATCAATTATGACAAGTTGTCCAGGTCCTGCAGAAGCAAAGCAGCCCTAGACCATCACACTACCACCACCATGTTTTTTTGCTGGTATGATGTTCTTATAGTGGAGTGTGGTTTCAGCCTTACGCCATATGTAACGGGACCCATGTCTTCCAAAATTTCCACCTTTGACTCATCAGTCTGTAGAATATTATCCAAACAGTCTTAGGGGTCATCTTTATGTTTTTTTGGCAAATGCAAAATGACCCCTTGTGTTCTTTTTGTTCAGCAGCAGTTTGTGCCTTGCAACTCTCATGGATGCCATTTTGCCCAGTGTCTTTCTTATTGTGGAATCATGTGCACTGACCTTAACTGAGGCAAGTGAGGCCTGCAGTTCTTTATATGTTCTTTTATATGTTTTTTTTTTTTTCCACATTTGTGGATAATGGCTCTCACTGTGGGTCGCTAGAGTCTCAGAGCCTTAGCAATGGCTTAGTAACCCTTTCCAGACCGGTAGTGATTTCAGTGACTTTGTTTCACATCTGTATTTCAATCTCTTTAGAACGTGCTGCTTCTTGAGGCCTTCTAACCTGCTTCATATCATCAGGCAGGTTCTATTTAAGCAATGTTTAAGCAGTTCTGGCAGTAATCATGTCAATCAATATTTGATTGAATTTGGTTAACTGGTTGATTTAGCTAATTTAGCTAATTTCTTTTTCACATCATTTTTCTTTCAATAAATGAAATCATTATTTTAAAACAGCATTTTATTTTTACTTGTGTTATCACTGTCTAACACTAAAGGTTGATGATCTAAAACATGCCAGTGTGAAAAATATGCAAACACAGAAGAACTTGGGAAGGGGGCAAATAATTTTTCACAGCACTGTATATTTATGAAGTGAATGAAACATTCTGGTGGAAACTCTATGTAGCAATCTTGTTTAGTACTGTGAAATGTGCATACTTTTCTGTTAAGGTCATGAACCTGGAAATTGCTCAATCTTCATTTTCTTCACAATATAAAAACACCCAGACCTCAAACTCTTCCAGCCGGTTTCGGAGAAATTAACAAAGAAAAAACACAGCAGTTGCCAGGTACAGTCAAAACAATTTTAGTTTGAAAATGATAAATTGTGTATTAATGTCTGCTATAAATGCAAAATGCCTTTTCAGAAATGTAGGACGGAATGCAAATGATGCTGTTTCTGATTCTGATTCTGCTCTTTCTTGTATTTCAGTGTTTTGTACTCTGCAATGGCGATGTGGACAGTTTATTTGTTTCTTGGGTTTTTTCTTGCTACAGGTAGGAGAAATATATGCCTCTTTACACTGTCCTGCTTTTAAGCTGAGAATTCATACTGTAACAAACAGAACAACAGAAAAGCTTGAAATTTTTTGTGCTTAGAGTTTCTAAACTTAGCTTAGTCGAAAGCATCTAAGCTTGGTCTACAAAACACAGCATAACTTAAGCTTTCGCAGAAAAAACTGAACGCGGTTTCAGTTTATACGCTGAAACTGCCTAAATTTCATTATCAGCTTAAATTGTTTTATTGACCTTCCTGAGACTAGACTACAAAAACTGTTGTTTTTGAGAAATTTAGATATTTAAAAAAATCTCTATACAGAAAGTTGACTTAACGTTGACAGTTTGAAGTCGTGATTTTTATAATTCTTTGTATATTTTTAAAGTGTATAGGCCCAATTAGGAATAACCATAACAGCACTCAGAGTTGATAACAGCGTGACACCATCTGTAAATATTATTATGACTAATAAAATCTTTAACAATCAGCTAGTCAATATTCAAACAGAGTCAACAATTAGTTAACAGTCAGCAATTTCCCAACACTGCATATCACGAAATTGAAGTACTGGAGGTGCAGATTAAGCAGATTAAGTGCAAAATGATTTTTCAGCCACTATCACTGTAGCACAGTCAGAGACTAAGATTAAACTGCTACCTGCCCTGTGACCAAAAGAAAAGCTAACTGACGTAATGTTAATGCTAGAGGGCCTGGTGCTTGGACAAAAAGAACCATCCAGCTTTTGTAAGACTGTTCTTTTGCATCATATTCTTAGAGTTATTATTATTATTATTATTATTATTATGGCAATATTGTAGGCTAATGACATTATGAATGTTTTAGAAACATAGTCATAAATCTCTCTGATTCACAGCGCATAAGCTTTGTCCGGGTGAGTGGTCAGCCCATGGATCTAGATGTTTCAAGTTCTTCAAATCACCACTCCAATGGATTGACGCAGAGGTAGACAGTGGATTTGAGAGTGCTTCATGCTTGAACAGCTGATTGGTGCTCACTGCTTATTTTTAATGTTTATTTTTTTTCACATTCTAGTTTGAATGTTTGAAGCATGGTGCAAATCTTGCATCAGTACACAACAACAAAGAAAACGTCTTTTTAAAGAATCTCATCAAAGAAGCCACTGGCTCTCCCACTAAGTACTGGCTAGGTGGTCATGACTGTGTAGCTGTGAGTTTTTTTTTAAATCCTTTTGTTATTTATCATCCGTTTTATCTGCTATTTTCCAAGTAAGTAAATGATCACAAGAGTCTATAAACACAGAGAACTGTTTCTCCGTACAGGAAGGAAAATGGGTTTGGAGTGATGGATCCAAAATGAGCTTCCAGGACTGGGACAAAGGTCAACCTGATAACTACAAAAATGGAGAAGACTGTCTTGAGATGAACTATGGAGGTAGACACGTCTACATCACTACTGCTTGTGATACCAGCTTTCTTTTTCCATCAATAATTCCAGTTTCAGGTTTCACCAGTATTGTTCAAGTCTTAGACCTCCCAAGCGTTTTGGAGCTTTTGGTCCACAACATTTTTTATTTATTTTTTTTTAATTTTGTTGATTTTCTAATTGAAGCTAGCACACTCTCTATAGAGAATATTCTTAAATATTGTCCACAGTTTTTATTAATTGCTGAGTTTATCATGTTGGAGAAAAAAAAAACATGAAATATAAAATGTGGCATAACTTTGCACAGGCCACACTTTTGTTTAAAATCAGTAACTCAACAGTAAATGTGCATTGAAGTGTGCGTGATCTATGTAGAGGATGTTTTTTTTATACTTGATTTTTCTTCTGAAGACTAACAATATATGTACTTACCAGGGACTGTAGACTTATTATAAGATGACTTAACTTTTAATAAGCCAAATTATCTCAGCATATTGGCCATTGTAAGAAACATGTTTGAAACAAGCAAAATTATCTGTGTATTATTATTATAGTGAGACTTTGACATACTAAAATCAATTAAGACAAGTACAAAACATCCAGAAAGACATTAAATAATCTCATAATAAGGTTACCACACTCTTAAAATGAGAAATGTTAGATATATTGACTAGATGTAAGACAATTTCATTTATTTGTTTGTTCAAAAGTGCATTGTGTTTGTCTTTCTTACCACAGGTTCTTTTAAATGGAATGATGCCTTGTGCACTGTACTCAGGCCATTTGTTTGTGCCTTGAAGTGAAGATTTGGCAACGCATATCCATCTGCAAGAATCATCTACTGTAAAAAAAAAAAAAAAAAAACAAAAAAAAACAGATGTATAATCTGAATAAGAGTCAATAAAGCAAGTGAAGCAAATGTGTTGTCATTTTTTATTGCCATCTTTTGAAACAGAGTCAGTTACTTGCATGGTCTACTGTGGTGTTTCTCAGCCTTGGTCCTGGAAGATCACTGCCCTGCCCTACTTTTCCTGCTTTAATAAACCTATTTCAGCTCATAATAATGGGCTAATTAATGAGCTTATTCATTGGACCAGGTGTGTTGGGAGCAGGAAAAACACTGGTCTACTGTGTGATGCCCAGTTTGCCAGCAGATGGCACTGTTTCACAAGAAACACACAGCCCCTCTCTCTCTCTCTCTCTCTCTCTCTCTCTCCTCTCTCTCTCTCTCTCTCTGTGTTATAGAGCTTATCTAGTGCAAGCAGCTGGTCAGTGTGTTTACACATAGATATGCAGCACTCTTGGTCTGAACTGGGGCAAATCAGCGTTTCAAAGCTGCAAAGGGCTCCGATTACTGTCTGTCCCTCAGGAAGGCTACAGAGAAAAGCAGCAGTGGGCCACAACTGAAGAAAGACAGTGGCCTTTTATGGACATGGTGTGAAGGAGAGAGAAAGTGATGGGGGGGTGGGGGGAATTGGGGGGCAAAAACTAGGGAGACACCAGAAGACATGCACTGGCAAAAGAAAGCGAATGGCAGAATCCAATTTATTCACCATTTTAATTGGCAAGTGAAAGCGGAATCAACCAATCATGTATGATTTACAATGGGTGAGACCAATTTTGTTATTAAAAACTAGGGGTGCATACTGAAACTGAAACTGAAATCAGCCGAGTTTCGTTCCAAACATGGGATCCACAATTGGCTGGTTTACTTAGATCATTTCAGCCAAACTGTGTTATGATTTTACAGCTTACCTAATGTGAGCCAGATAGTACAAGGGGGCTGCATTTAGTTTATTTTAGCATTTGGCTGATAAAAAGAATTAAATATGATATTTTAGCTATATTTGAACAGCTACATAGTTGTCTACCGTAATAGGAATTAAAATTAAAACAGTGAATGCAATTTAACAAATAGTATGCAATTATCCTAACGAGACACAATTTTATACCATCTTGTGTTATTCATTATTTTTGATATATAATCATAAACATTTTTTGTGTAGCAGAATTTTACACTGAAACATTCACCCTGTAAACAGCCTGTCTGTTTGCTAGCACAGCATTTCTGTTAGATGGTACTGCATTAAAAGATGGCATAGTTCTGTAAAAAATATCACCACACAGGCTTGGGAATACTTCGACAAACCGTCATCATTAAACATTGTTCATTGCTGCATCCACAAATGCAAATTAAGACTGTACTATGCACAGCAAAAGTCATTCGTCACCAACACCCAGAAACTCTGCCGACTTCTCTGGGCTTGAGCTTACCTAAATGTACTGATGCACAGTGAAAGCGTGTACTGTGGTCTAATGAGTCAACCTTTCAGATTGTTTTTGGAAATAATGGACACTGTTTTCTCTGGGCAAAGAAGAAATGTACTATCCAGATTGTTACCAGAGTGTTAGGCATCAGTGTAGAGTCTGATTACAGTCCCTGTAGGTGAATGGTGCTGTAGGGGGGCAGCTATCAGAGCATACACACTCAGTTTCTTTTAAGCAGTTTGTTCACAAACAACAAGGAAGTAATATAAAGACCATCTTCATAGAGGTTGGTGGAAAAAAAAAAAGAAAAGTCAATTTTATTTGTACAGTGCTGAAAAAGCTTTGCAGCCGAGATCCCTATAACAACTTTACACATATCCAAGTCTAGAGCACACATGAAGCTGAAGGCAACAGCGACTCCTCTGTCTATTCAGAGATTAACAGCATCAATGTTAAGCCTGTAATCTACTCCAAGATGATTTTCACAGATTTTTACCATTTTTTTTGTCCACAGTCTGAGAGTGAGCGTTACTTTTTTGCATTTTGGGTTGACGGTATTAATTTAGCTTTTTGTGTGGGAAGAACCCTACAGCACAAATGAAATATTGTTTTATAAAGGGAGAATGCTTGTGGTTGCCTTCAAAAGAACACAGCTTGTTGAGAGCATATTACTGTCAGTGTGGAGGCCCATCTAATACAGGCATAGGGTGAAATATTATTTACAGGAATCCAAAGTCTCTCTTTTGTCCTCTGTTTTCTCACCTCCACATCACTAAAGCACACACAAAACGAAGTTTTCCTCTCAAAAGGAATGGAAAGAATAGGACAAACGTGTAGAGGTGATTGTCTGATATGGAGGTAGAGATGAGATGAGTAGAGTAGCCTAAAGTAAATATTGTTACTTTGGTGAAATAATGAATAAGGTAAAGGTACTTTTTCAAAAAAAATAAGTAGAAGTACAAAAGCAGTAGATCAAAAAAGGGGTTGAGGTGTATTTAGAACAGTAGTTTTATAGAAGAAGGTAAAAACACTCTTAAACTTCTATAAGTATAAGGTGAGGTTTGAAATCCTCTGTGTTATCTGTCCTGCAGGATTTGGAATGTTTACGTTAAGGCCCCCCTGGTCCAGAGGGCACCTGGTCCAAAGGTCTATCTCTTAGTTCTACATAGATGAGATCAATTTAAAAAGGGCCATATGTTCAGTTTGCTTTTTCAACAACAAGTACCCTACATAAGCAGCTGGTTTATTCTGTTCTGGAGGGGACACAATTGGCACAGATCCTCTCTCAGGTATTTTATAGTGCTTGATATGATACCATTTTACTTTGTAATAAACATCTTATGCAAGTAATGCTGTGTCAGCAGAGACTTCTTCTTCATTGCATCGATGAGGTTATTGCTGTGGCTATGATTTTGAAGGGGATGAAGGCTACTACAGGGAAGGCGACAATTTCTACTTTTGTTACTTTGGGAAATATTACAAGTGAGGTTGGGCCAAGGGCAACCTTTGCTAATCTCTGTCACCTATGAAATTTGTAAATGTAACACAGACACCTGATATGACATCTTGGACCTTTAAAGAAGTAGTAAATATAACCCAGAAACCTATGTTAAAGATAGAGCTTAGTGTGAATACTAGTAATGAGATTTTTGAACCGAGAGAACAGAAGGTGGAAGAGCATGATGCGGATTCATCTGTGACAGCTCAGAGGACAGCTTAGACGTGGAAGAGGAGTTTTTTGACTTTGACTGAACACCAGAAGACGTGACTGACCATTATCGTGTATTATAGAAGATTCCTAGGTGTTACAAATCGCAGACCCAGGAGCAGGTAGGAACTTATGGTTCCAGCAGTTAACTCATTCTGTAAGATCGGTTAGGAAGCTGAATTGTCCATGTGTGGTGAACGTTCCAACACCAGGCACATGGCCTTCAATTTCAGAGACGGTACCAGGACCATTAAGTCTTAAATGTCAATCATATGCATTATAGTGGCTGTTATATCAGCAGCAATCAGCAGAAGATAAGGTGATGGCTCTGTCAGTGCATCTGTTTAGACCTAGACATAATTGTTCTTGGTTGGGAGAATAACCATATGTGAATTTACTTGATCAGTGTAACATGATAGGACCACTCAGACATTCGCGGATAAAAAGACCGAGGAGGCTTCACTGTTTGACTCATCAATCAAAATTGTTGTCAGGAAACAGGCACAGATCAAATCCAGAAAGGGCAGCAAGAAACACAAACATAACAACAGGCAAAAACAATTCAAAAGGGGACAGGCAAAAACAGGTGAGTCAAAATACAGATGAATAGTTAAAACTTGGAAAACACAACATAGGAAAAAAATGCTCAGTAGCTCTAGAAAGAAGCAATACCTCACACTGAACTGTTCTAAAAGCCCAGGCTTTATACTGAAGCTGATGAGAGGTCACAGGTGTAACAGATCAGTACTCAGGAGAGAGAGACCTGTGATAGGAGCATGGTGGAGGGTCAGGAGTCATGTGATCTCCCAGAGGATTCTGGGAGATGGAGTCCAGGGAAACCTCTGAGCCATAGGGATGCATGACAATCAGCATGAAAATATGATAACAGCAATCCCTGATCCATTGGAGGTGAAATCTGTGGGATTTGTGGTGATAAGGCATATATATTTCTACCATATGGGTGGATAGGATGCTGTTACATGGCAACGTTGAAGCTTCCATATGAGGTTTTTACTGTCCAGAAGGGAAAAGTTTCTGATGAGGTTCAATCTGATGCTATTTCTGGAAATAAGAAGAAAAGGGAACTGGCACAATTTCATAATCTGGAGTCCTATCATTGGAGGATAAGTCTAGGAGAGAAGTGGGGTATAGGATTATTTCCATGGTATTGTGTGACATTTTTGGCAGATCACATTGATAATATTACCTACACCCTATAGGGTTTTGCAAATGAGACTATAAGAGGTTTTGAATACTTGTCAAATACTCAAAAGAGTCATAGACTGACGTTGCTGAAACATGACATGGCTCTTGATTATCTTTTGGCCAAACAAGGTGGCCTGTGTGTGGCTTTGAACTTAACTGGGGATGCCTGTTATACTTTGATTCCTGATAGTTTTGACAAGATGACTAGTGTCACAGATGTACTGATGCATATAAGGGAGGCGTTTGGCCCAGCGGAAGGAGCTGGATGGTCTGCGAATGCTTGGTTGCAGGAGAAATTAGGACCATTGGGAGCAGTGTTAGTTCAGATTATGGTAGCAGTTCTTATATCATTGAGTGTGATGTTCTGTTTCTGTACATTGTTGTTAACTTTTGCGAAGGCTATGATATTCAGATGGGTTGGTGTTGTGATGCCTTGAGATCAAGTTCAGATGCCATTACTACATGGTACTGACACAGACGATGATATGGAAATATCCATTTTGAATATCTGTTCTTATTATAGTCTTGACATTTATTTCCATTACTATTTGGGTATTTAGTAGTCTCTTACTATAGAGTTAGATGATAGCAGGGGAAATGAAAAGGTGACTTATAACTTGGAATAATGTGAAAATATGATATTGTGAATTTCACAATTACTTATAAGGTGTTAATCCATATTTGATGTTTCAATTTGCATCTGTTTTTTCGCAAAAGATACTGGTTGGTGGTTTTCTTTTCTTTCCTTCAAGAATGAAGTTGGGGGAAGACCACTGTAAGGGTGGTTGGATGTTCGGGGACCCCGATGTGCATGGACAATAAGACTGGACTGAAGGACTTTGAATAAGGACACTGTGATACAATGCCCAGAGTCAACACATCATCGACGCTACATTGAGAGTCAACGCTGCTGAGGAGCTGCAGTGTGATACATTTTTATGTCTTCATATATATATTTGCATAGTATTGGATTATATTGTAAGGGGGGATATTGATAGAGGACATTTATAAGGTAGTGATAATCTTAGTAAGACATATTAGATTGAGTGTTTGAGTTGTTTAGTGCATGAGTAGTACTTAAATGTATAACACTTTCTTTGGGTTTTAATTGATTGAAGACTGATGTTTTCTGTTATGGGGTAAGTACATTGGGACCTCAGATGTTTTTTTTCTTTTTTTGGGTGTTTAGGGATATTGGTGTTAGGCAGGGAAAGGTCCATTGGAAGGTCCGATGGGTTGACCAGCCTGAATGTGGACATTGTTTTGATTTTATTTTCTGAGGATTCCATATGTATTTGCTTAAGTCATATCTCTATACAATTTGTCAAAATTCCTCTTTTTAAAGTAGTCTGGAGTATTCTATGTGGTCGCCTAAGGCAGAGGAGCCGTGAGAGAATTTTTCCTGTCCAGATTGTTTGATGGACATTTCAGGATGAATGCTCTCACACTCCAGAAAGTTGTTGCATTGCTAAGGTTATGCTGTAGGAAGCATATATAGGAGGACCTGTTATTTTGTTACAACCACAAATATGTATGTGATACCTTTTTGTTTTTCGAGACTTTGTGGAAGCCTCGAAGGGGGGAATATGAGGTGTATTTAGAAGAATAGTTTTATAGAAGAAGGTAAAAACACTCTTAAACTTCTATAAGTATAAGGTGAGGTCTGAAGTCCTTTGTGTTATCTGTCCTGCAGGATTTGGAATGTTTACGTTAAGGCCCCCCTGGTCCAGAGGGCACCTGGTCCATAGGTCTATCTCTTTGTTCCACATAGATGAGATCAATTTAAAAAGGGCCATATGTTCAGTTTGCTTTTTCAACAACAAGTATCCTACATAAGCAGCTGGTTTATTCTGTTCTGGAGGGGACACAATTGGCACGGATCCTCTCTCAGGTACTTTATAGTGCTTGATATGATACCATTTTACTTTGTAATAAACATCTTATGCAAGTAATGCTGTGTCAGCGGAGACTTCTTCATCATCTTCACATCATCGCTACTTAATAAACAACAGGGTCACTGTGGCCAAAATGAAAAACTGAACTATCACTACGTCTGTTGTACACCTGCCTGCTCACCTCTTACAGCAGTGCTGCAGTTGTCTCTAGAGCATGATTTCTGGTTTAAAGACTAGTAAAACCCCATATCTGATGATGTGGTGTGGAAGTTAGCGTGCCAACAGCACCGCCAGTATTGTCATCATCAATATTCTTTGCAGTAAAATAAAGCTCTGCTGATCGTTCTAACACAGTTTAAACAATAAATGGTCTTAAACGCTGGAGTTAATGTATGACTGCTAATTCACCCTTTAACCCTGAAGGTTGGCATTCACACTGATGGTCACATAGCAACGCAGACAGACACCATATAAGGTGGAACAAGAAAATTTTAACAAGAAGCTGGCAAATGAGAAGCTGACTTCATCCTCATAAAAATCGAATGTTCAGAGACATTTTACAAGAAACTATTCTACTTTTGGGGAAAAGATTCCTGCTGGAGATGTGAATAAAGCAGCTATATCTGAGCTAAAGCTTAAAGCAGAGCAAAGTGAGTGTGTTTTTGTTTCTATTATATTTTAGACATTTTCAGCCAAGATGGTAAAATGTTACTGGTAGCAGCGCTGCTGTGTCTGATCCACTCGTACCAGCACAGCACACACTAACACACCACCACCACATCAGTGTTACTGCAGTGCTGAGAATGATCCACCACCCAAATAGTACCTTCTCTGTGAGGATCCCCTGAAGAACAGGGTAAAAGGGGGCTAACAAAGTATGCAGAGAAACAGATGTGTACAGTCTGTAATTGTAGAACTGCAAAGTGCACCTATATAGCAAGTGGAGCTGATAAAATGGACAATGAGCGAAGAATCAAGGAGGTGGTCATAATGTTATGCCTGATTGGTGTACATATATTTGCAGGATATGTGCTGGCTTGCTGATAAATACCTTAACAATTCAATGAAAAGACTTGAATCAATTTAGTGTTTGGCCAAATGAATTATTTTACAACTGAAACTGATATTTATGACTGTCTTTGTTTGGTGAGGGATGTTACATCTTAACCAATGAGCTGCTCTTGTATTTCCACTGGGGATGTAAAAGGCTGAAGCTATTGGGAAATGATTCAATATTCTCTACTTAAGTATTTTTTTAGAATTCTGTAACATTGGTTGTGAAAGAGAGCAGACTGAAAAACAGTGTTAAAATGGCCTATTAACACCTGTTAAAGTATTGCTGTGAATTAAGAAGAAATGCATCATATTATGCACTGATAAATGGGTACATTTATATATTTTTATCAGCTCCTTTTTTGGAATTAACACCAGTGATTAAGACTGATAATGTAGCTGTTCTTTTTTTAGCTCACAGATGAAATGACATATGTAGTCACTGGCAATGGGCATATCTATTACTTAAATGGAGCATAGTGGATAACAAGTTTCAAGATTCAGTTCCCATCCAGCCGCTGATGGACTGTTGTTGATGTTTGTTCAGTGAGTTGTCTGTGCGTGTGTTCTATATGTTATAGAGAGTCTGGGAATGGGTTGTTTCGTGTAAAGGTAGGTCAGCGGCTTCCAGCTGGGGCATGGCAGAGCAGAGCTAGCGCGTATTGTACTACCACGGTATACCAGAGAAGGAGCCCAGGAGCCTTACTTAGTGCAGTTGCAGATGGTCTCCCAACATTGTGGGTGACTGGTGGCTGACACCACGATTCAGCTGCTTCTGGCACCTCCTGGAGAGCCGTATTAGGGTTGCCATGTTGCTCCACCGGCAAAGCAACATGGTAACCCTAATGCAGCTCTCCATTGGTGGCTTGGGAAAGGACTAGCTGTGCTATCTGTCAGGAAGCTGCTTCCAGGTAAGTCAGAAGGTGAAATGGGTAAGGAGTCAATTGGATTCACTCAAGCTCTCCTTATGTTAGGCCGCAAGCTCAGGAGGCCCAAGGAGCTGGTCTTTGGGAGTCCTCCAAGGTTGTGGGAGAACGGCATTACCAGAGTTGTGTCAGGGGCTCTGCCACTGTTTTCATGCTTTGCACCAGCCAACCAGGAACTACCAGGATGAGGCCAGTGGCCACCAAAAACGGGCATATGACTCACTGATTCGCACCGTCAGGGGCAACTACAGTCGCCCAGAGCACGGGTGAGGAAGGGGTGCTGCCCCAAGCTGCATTCACCCCAGGGCACAAATAACCTATTATCTATTGTGAAAGAACCTTAAGCACAATATAAAGATTAAATAGCCAAAAAAATAGAATTTTCTCTAAATTTTCTTAGAGTCGTACATCTAAGCCTGGATCCATTTAGGGACTGTTTATTTCAAAGACGCAGTTGCAATCACAAGCCATAGTAAAAGTCTATATAATGCATTTGATACTATCTACTATCTAACTATGACAGCACTTGATAAAGACAATCAAATAACCCCATATTCTCACTCTGGTTTCATGTCTACCACAGACCAATGTTATACTGGATGGGACTTTAGCCAGAGTTAGTGCAGCATATAGGGTTATGTAGTCTTTCTCTGAATCTGTTCCCAGCTGATAACATTTATAAGCCTTTACTTTTCAGCCTGTCAGTCAAAGCACAAAGTATGGACAGCAAAGAGGAAAGATAAATGGATAAAAAGAGAGAGAGAGAGAGAGAGAGAGAGAGATGAATAGATCAGTGTGATCTCTTACAATTAATTTCCACCATAACCAACTGAACGATTTCAAACAAATGCTCAGGATAAGCAGGTCTGATGGCACAGGGGGGCAAAAGGGGGTAATGTCTATTCAGTCTCCCAGCTAACCTTTCAAACTGCACTCACAGGAATTACAGGGATGTCCTAGCTGAGCAAGCCGTTTACACCTTCCAATCAATATTGTCCAATATGAGCCTAATGGAAAGTAGCTACTTGCTACCTTTCTTAGCATGGTTCATTTTCTGAGACCTACATGTAATCATAACAGTTAAAAAAAGAAAAATGAAATTTACCACATAAAAAAAGACAAAAAACTAGCGAGCCACAAGATGACATTATAGTAGGCTACTGGATGGTCAGATGTGTCAACTATTAAACATTACTCAGCTATAAGCATTTATGTTGCCTAATTACTGTTTACAGTGGGGTACATGTGTGCGCATAATGATGTAAGCTAGATTCCATACAAGAAAAATGTAGTGCCAAGTGCAATAAGTTCATGCTAATGCTAACCAGCCTGTTACCTTAATATCACTTTTATTATGTTCTTATTTGTTAAAGAAACCAATTTGACAATGTACCCACCAATTGGGCAAGTTGTCACAAGTGCGTACTTAAAGTCTCTAACTTCAAATCGAAATGAGATATAAAGATGCAATGAATATAAATATGTTACCCCTAGGTGTGAATGTATATATCTGTGTGTCAGCCCTGCGCTGGACTGGCGGCCTGTCCAGGGTGTATCCTGCCTTTTGCCCAATGACCGCTGGGATAGGCTCCAACTCCCCCTGCGACCCAGAAGCGGCTTGGTAAATTCTTTCATTTGGATTGGCATTCATTCCATTGTTATATGCAGTATAAATGTAAGAAAGAGTGAAAAGTGTGACAAAATGCCCCACTCTCTCCTTAAAATTTTTCCGTTAAAGCGTAGATCTAAGAAGGTTTGTTTGTTAGTTTGTTAGAGCTGTTAGTTGCAGCAAGGCTCACAAACACTTCCTGTAATGTTACCTTCTAAATATCTAGATTGTCCACTTTCCATTTTGTGACTGTCAATTCTTTGCAGGGTGTTAGACACATTGGCGTCCCTCTTAGAATTACATCACACTTTCACTTGAATCGCATATCATACCTCTCGTTAAACCTTTCTTCTTTTGCCACAGCAGGACTGCCCACCCTTGCCCTTACCTAAATATCAATGATGCTAAAACATGTCACATACTGTATTTTTCTCATATTAAAAGACTCATATCCTACATTTTTCTACATATCCTGACCAATTTACAACTTGCCTTTCATGTTTAGAATTAAACATGCTGCTTTTGTCACTCTAGCTATTATATCACTGCTGTCGGAACAAAACCTTGTATCTCCAAAATGACAACTTTACAGGAGAGGGGAAAAAACATATTGTACTCTTAATGTTAGTCAGTGGAACCAGACTTTTAATTCTGAGCCATCTGTTTTGGTCCATTCATCATGAAATGTATGTAAAGAGCAACAGGTATTTTCAAATTATGTCAAAAACTGAAAAACGGTTTTGTTACTTTTTTTTTCTCAACATGCTGCATTTAATATTTTGTGTACGTTTCCTCATTCTAAAAAGTGGCATGTTAAATAACAACCCATTTTAACATTTTTTGTGTCATATTATTGCTGATTTACCTAATTTTGTGATAAAACCAACCCAAATTGTTTAATCCAATAACTGGGCAAAGAAATATTTCAAAAAGTAACAAGTTTTAAAAGTAACAGAAAATGTGTTGTCTCCAAATGAACACACTGATGTGTTTAGCTAAAGATATAATGTGTTCATGTTTTAGGACTGTATGCTTTTTTTCCAGTATTTGAGTCTCTGACTTGTTAGTGTTTTCTGCATATCTAATTGGTTCATTATTCTGGCATATTTTTGGATGATTTATGTCATTTACAATTCCAGAGCACATCTATATGTGCACAGCTTGAGCTAGATTTACCATCAACAGTGAGCATATGTGTGCCAGATTGACAAATGCATTTTTTTTATTCACTAATCTTAAGTTTACTTCAGAACACAGTGAAAAGTGTGGGCTTTGATAAATGATGGGCCACATGTAGTGGCTCTGGCAATACATTGATGGAACCACTATCAAACTCCCTATCAAAGGCAGTACTTCTCTGCTGCCTTAGCAAACACATGCTAATGACTAAATCACAGCTTATTTCTGGGGCACGGGTTCTCATTAGCTGCCCCAGGATAGCAGCTCCGGTTTTGAAAGGTACACTAATGATGAGCATGTGTTTCGCTATGGGCCCACAGCTACATGCTTAATTAAATTCAATTCAAATTTATTTGGAAAGTGCTTTTTACAACAGATGTTGCCATTAAAGCCACTTTTACAAAAATCTGGGTCTAAGCATCTAATGAGCAAGCCAAGGGCAACAGGGGCAGGAAAAACTCCCTAAGAGAATGAGAACCTCTGAGAGGAACCAAGACTCAAAAGGAAAAATAAAGAGGGAACCATTGGGAGGTACTATGACTAAAAGGAGAAACTCCATAAGAGTTTGAAACAAGAACCAGGAATCAAAAAGGAAAACTGAGTGTGATTACATGCACTTAATAGTCCAATCATAATCAGATTTCTGCAATTATCTGATTATTCAAATAGTCATGTAATAGGGTATACTCAGATTCCTTAGATCAGAGTAATGTCTAGAAATCTGATTTAGAAATTTGATAAAGAGACCTGTATTTTAGCTCAGTATTTAGATTTCTCAGTGCATGTAAACTCTTACTCTGATTTCTTTCAGATTTCTCGGTCTGCGCATGTGAGAAAACAGACGGCGGTACCAGAAATAAGCAGCCTTCAGCACAGCACCTGCAAGACGGCAACAAAACACATCTGGAGCGACACTGAAACCAAATACATGCTTGATGAAATGAAGGATTTTAATATTCTTCTTCTTCTAGATGATGTGTGTTCATACTTCCAGGTAAAATTTTTTGAAAAAAAAGCTGCAGCATTAAGTTTGAGTGTTTTACGTTACGTTTATGTCACATCTTCTTTTGTGAGTTTATTGGCTGGTTGCAAAGCAGAAATCTGATTCCTGCCTGACTCATGTAGATCCAGAGTTTTCCATTATGTGATTACTCAAGTGCATGTAAAGGTGTTGATCAGATTACTGACAAAATCTGATTTTCTGCAGCTATCGGATTACTAAGTGCATGTAAATAAAATCACTGAGAGGAACCATCACTCAAGCATTAAAAAGGCTCTAATAAAATGAGGAACAACCACTGCGAGGAACCAAGACTCACAAAAAAAACTGACAGGAACCAAAACTGAAAAGGAAAAAACTCCCTAAGAACATAAGGAAGAACCAGTAAGAGGAACAAAGATTCAAAAGAAATACTGACAGGAAAAATGAAAAACTCCCTAAGAACATTGTTCATGGTTCTTTATTAAACTAATTTTTAACTAAAGAACCTTTGAAGAAACATCTTTTTCAGAGTGTGCTGAGAGGACCAAGACTCAAAGGGAAGAACTCTCTAAGAGTATGGGGAAGAACCACTGACAGGAACCAAGACAGAAAAGGAAAAAGCACCAAAGAACATGAGAAATAACCATTGAGAGGAACCAAGACATAAATAGACCTGCTTCCTGTTTACCAACACTGAGCAATTCTGAATCTGTAAGTCAAAGTCAAAACTCCTTCTCTTACTCACTCAAAAAGAAAAGAGACAGAAAGTTCCTGCTCAGCTCTCGAGACTGTCAGCTGCTTAGACAGTGTCACTAAATTTGCTTGGCACAATACATGCAGAACACTTTTGTTTACATGCTCACACACTTTTCCATCACATAAACATAACATTTGCATCGCATTTGCATGTCTGAAGGAAGGCAAAATCAGTTTCTTATTACATTGTTCTCTCCACGGAAAATCTTTTCGGCAGGTTTGCCTCAATCAAATGTCTCTGGGGGGTTTAGCACCAATGAAACATCATTCCTTAGGTACGATTTGTGTGAGGTTTTTGTTTTCAGCTGCTTGAATCTTTTTACCTTGTTTGGGGTGAGAACCATATCATTCTGAAAAGCCAAGGGTGATGATTTGGTCCACAGTGAAGGAAAAGAAAACCACCTCTACACATACTGTCATGCATTCGGGGAACTCTCAGAAATAGACGGACTTCATCTCCCAGACTCCTCTGGGAGATGACATTACTGATCAACTTCCCTGAGACTGAGAACTGCCCACAGTTCAATGGGGGCTCATGTGACTTCTGACGCTCACTCACGCTCCAATCAGCGCTCCAACTCTCCCGAATACTAACTGGTATCACCTGTGTGTTGGGTCATATGACAGAGTAGTTTACTTTATAAGCCCAGGCTTTAGTTAGAACCAGTGCGAGGTATTGTTTCTTTGTAAACTACTGAGCGTTTGTATTCTGACTGCCATTATCCTGTGTTTTGACCATTGCTTTGTTTATTCCGATTCTGCCTTTTTGCTTTGTCCCTTTTGTACTTTTGCCCATTCTGACTGATCTGTGTTTTGGAACCTTTTGCCTGTTTTTGTGACTTTGTCTTTTGCTCAGCCCTTTTCTAGTTTGATTGCCTGGTAATATTAAATGCCATTGTCTTTTACATCCGCAAGCGTCTGGTTTCTGTTGACACGTCACAGAATACCTCGCCCTCATGCAGACGGCAGATCCAGAAGCCTTTCAAAAGGCTCTCAATGAACAAGGACTTAATGCTGATATATTAAACGAATTAGCTAGCAAAGATGATGATCTAATGCTGGACCAGCTGATAGCTCTAGCTATTAACCTAGACCATCTTCTACACTCCCGTAAGAGAACCAAGATTGAGAAAACCCACAGAAGGACACTCCCTCATGTGAAAGTCACCCAGGAGGCCGCTGAAACCACTGAACCCATGCAGTGCGATTCCTCTCAGTTGTCACAGGAAGAAAGACTGCGTCGGCTGAACAATCATCTATGTCTGTATTGTGGCAAGGCAGGACATCAAGTTCGCGACTGCCGAGCCAGACCACAAAAAAGCAAGGTGCCGACCCCTGGACAGCACGTGGAGTTCAGTACCTGCAGGTTCCCGGTGAAGACCCTCCAGACAGTTCTTAAAGTGGCCGCACTAGACGGAGAACCAGTCGGGTTAGGGACCATATCCAAGGTCACAACACCATTGACTTTACAGACCAGTGCTCTTCATCAGGAGGAGATGTCATTTCTAGTTCTAGAGCAATCAGAATTTGATTTGATCTTGGGACTCTCCTGGCTAGAAAGACACAATCCTACCATTTCATGGGCCGAGCATACTATCACCAAGTGGTCTGATTACTGTGTCCAAACCTGCCTTACTGTCCCTTCCCTCTCAGTTTTATCCACCTCCATAGAAAGCCCCAACTCTGATTCCACAATGGAGATCCCTACTGTGTATGCAGATTTGAAGGAAGTATTTAACAAGAAGAATGCCACCAGACTGCCTCCTCATAGAACTTATGACTGTGCCATTGAACTCATTGAGAACCCCGTTTTCCCCAAAGCCCGAATCTATCCCCTGTCCCTAGAAGAACAGAAAGCACTCGATGTGTATATTCAAGAGGCGCTTGACCAAGGTTTCATCAGACCTTCCACATCCCCCATCGCATCCAGTTTTTTCTTTATAAAGAAGAAAGATGGCAGTCTACGCCCCTGTATTGATTATCAGGCCCTAAACCAGATTTCCAAAGCTTACCCTTATCCCCTTCCATTAGTCCCAGTAGCATTAGAACAACTGCAAGGGGCTAAGTTTTTCACCAAGTTGGATCTTCGAAGTGCTTACAACATCATCAGAGTTAAGGAAGGAGATGAGTGGAAGACTGCCTTTTTGACCACTAGGGGGCACTATGAATACCTTGTAATGCCCTTCGGACTCTCTATCGCCCCCTCGGTATTCCAAGCTTTTATAAATGATGTACTCAGAGACATGTTAGGGCAATTTGTCATCGCCTACCTTGATGACATTCTCGTCTACTCTCCTTCCTTAGAATCCCATGTACAACATGTACGAGCCGTGCTACAACGGCTCCTAGAGAACAATTTGTTTCTTAAAGGAGAGAAGTGTGAATTCCACCTGCAGTCAGTGTCCTTCCTAGGCTATGTCATCAGTCCTCAGGGAGTTATCATGGACGACCACAAAGTTGAGGCAGTTGTCCAATGGTCCACACCTACTTCAGTAAAAGAATTACAGAGATTTTTAGGTTTCGCCAATTTTTACCGCAGATTCATTAGAAACTTTAGCAGTCTTGCATCCCCTCTAACATCTCTGCTAAAAGGAAACCCCAAGAAGATCACATGGACCGAACAGGTGGAAAAAGCCTTCCAGAGTCTCAAACAGGCTTTTACAACCGCTCCCATTTTAAAACACCCAGACCCCACAAAGCCCTTTGTAGTAGAGGTAGATGCTTCTGACACCGGAGTGGGAGCAGTATTATCACAGCGGACTGGATCCCCTCTAAAATTACATCCCATTGCATTTTTTTTTCTCATAAGTTGTCGCCTACCGAGAGAAATTATGGGATTGGTGATCGTGAACTACTTGCTGTCAAGCTAGCCCTGGAGGAATGGCGTCATTGGTTGGAAGGGGCCAACCATCCATTCACAGTATTGACTGATCATAAGAACTTAGAATTTCTTTGCACGGCCAAGAGACTCAATGCCCGCCAAGCTAGATGGTCCCTATTCTTTTCGCGATTTCAGTTCAACATCACATATTGACCGGGTTCTCGTAACACCAAGGCGGATGTATTGTCTAGAATGCACCAACAGGAAATGCACACGCCTCAGCTTGAGACACCAGAACGCATCCTTCCACCTGAGGTAAACATCTCCTCTATTAGATGGCAAATAGATGAAGACATAGAAAAGGCTTTACCCCATATCCAAGTGCCTAACCAATGCCCACCAGGGAAGCTTTATGTACCGGAACAGTTCCGGACCCAGCTTATAACATGGGCTCATTCATCGGTAACCTCAGGCCATCCAGGAGAAACCCGAACACACCAGCTTCTAGCCCATCAGTACTGGTGGGAATCTATGACCCAAGATGTCCATTCCTTTGTGTCCTCATGCTCGACATGTGCCCAGTGTAAGACCCCAAAGACATTACCTGCTGGAAAGTTAATGCCCTTACCCATACCCAACAGACCCTGGTCCCATATAGCGGTCGACTTTGTCACAGACTTACCTGACTCACAAGGGTTTACGACCATTCTGACGGTTATCGACAGATTCTCTAGGAGAGTTCGTTTTATACATTTTGCTAACATTCCCAGTGCTTTTCAGATGGCCGAAACCTTGTTCCAGTATGTATTCAGAATATTCGGAATTCCGGAGGACATCGTGTCTGACAGGGGGGCCTCAATTCACCTCCCAGGTATGGGCCACTTTTTTTGAACACATCGGGGTCTCCATTAGTCTCTCTTCAGGATACCACCCACAATCTAATGGACAGTGTGAGAGAGCAAATCAGGAACTGTGAAAGTTTTTGAGACTCTTTTGCTTTGATAATCCGTCTGATTGGTCTAAATACTTGGTGTGGGCAGAAATCGCACAAAATTCATTGACCAGTTCTGCCACTGGAATGACAACTTTCCAGTGTATTTTAGGTTACCAGCCCCTTCTAGCACCCTGGACCAGCTCTCAAACAGATGTTCCAGCTGTGGATGCGTGGATGGCACGCAGCGAGCAAGTATGGGAGGAGACGCATCAGCGCATTGAGACAGCACTACAGCGCCACAAGGAACAGGCCAACCAACACAGAAGTCAAACCCCAGTCTTTCAGCCAGGAGACAGAGTGTGGCTGTCCACGAGGGACTTTCGCCGTTCTGAGGGAAGTTGTAGAAAGCTGCAGCCCAAATATATTGGGCCGTTCAAAATCGTAAAGCGAATTAATGATGTGACATACAGATTAGACCTACCCCCACGTTTTAGAGTATCACGCTCATTCCATGTGTCTCTTCTTAAACTGGTTGTTACAGGGCCCTTGGATGAGGCAACGCCAGACGTCATGCCACCGCCACCGGAGGGGATAGACGGAGTTCCAGTCTACGCTGTCCGGAGGCTGCTGGACTCCAGAAGACGGGACGGGCTCCTCCAGTACCTGGTGGATTGGGAGGGGTATGGCCCTGAGGAACAATGTTGGGTGCCTGCTAGAGATGTGTTCCTGCCCATCTACGGAACCCTCGAGTGGACAATCCGCCTGTCCAGCACCTCGGCAGCTCTGGATCAGCCCCGGTTCGGGAACCCGGTTGTGTGCGTGGTGGTCGTTCTGGTCGTCCTCGTACCGAGGCCCACCTGGACTCTTTTG